CAAAAGGGAAATCTATTTTGTATTTTATATTTGAAATAACAAATAAAGCATTTGCACTTTGTATTTAAATACTTTTAAAAAAACATTTTGCACATCTCTGATGAATCTCATAATCTCTAGCAGTGGACGTTGATTTGTCATTTAAATGTCTAAATTTTTGTACTTCATGATACATTCTGAAACTAAATAATAATCAACGACATGAGGCAGTATTCAAAACGTTATGGTTCTCTTAATTTTGATCATATCTTAGAAGACAATTTAGCGATTAATAAAAATTTTAGAGGATTTTATACAGCCAAGAAAACAGACAATAAGCTGGGATGTTTGGATGTTCCTAAAAATATTTTTTTGGAATCAGATGATAATGATAGCGTTTCTAATACCAAACTAGCAATTTGTCAAAGAAATTCTGAACCTTTTGATGACCAAAACATTTTTGATGATTTTTGGGACTACGAGTATAAAAATTCACCATGTAAAATGATAATGAATGGTGATAATTACGAAATTAATTCGGATTTTGATCAACTTAAAACGTTATTTATTAGACAAGAAAGTATTACAGAAAAAATAAAATGTAGAAAACGCTTATTAAAAAAGTTGTCAAATGGAGAATATGGTAAAGGTTGTAATGATAACACAAGGTAGAAATAGCAATACAATTTTGGATTTTGTTATTAAAACATTTGATTTTTATTAGCCTGTTTAAAAATCAACTGAATCGATCGTCGTTACCAGTTATACAAAATGTTCGTGAACATCTAGTGCCTATTTATCTTGAAAAATCGTGCAGTTCTACCACTGTTGGTGATAGCAGGAGGTAGCGATTAAATTTTTTTTTCGTGTTATTTAATGAAATAGAATAAGGTTTATAAATTTAAGTAGTATTTGTACCCTTTTACAAAAAACGTTGCTTTACCAGTCTATCTCTTCATTTCTTAGAAAGCCTACATTCTCTTTTTTTTCTTTTTGACCTCCACAGCATCCCCAGTTCTCCCATTTTTTCTAATATCTCCTTTAGAGTAATATACTTACTTATTATTTACCGTAATTAGTGAACAAAATATTTCGCGAAAATTAAGGTTTACATACATGCATGCAATTTTTTAGTGAAGATGTTGATGAAGAAAAATCATTTCAGTTTATTGAAGACTTCCTGTTACAAAATAATAAGAAAATGATAGAATTTATGGTTTCTAGTGGTAGTAAATGTAAAAGGAGTAGACTTGACGATTTTCCTAATTTAAAAATGAATTCGTGGAAGATAGCCGATCAACAAGTTAACCTTGATAAAAAGGTAAAATCTCTTGAATTCTGTTATGGTACTTGTCTTCCATCTTTATCAGGGCCAGACAAAGGTGGGGGGGAGTTAGAGTGCTACGAATACTACGCATCGGACCCCCGCAACACAACCAAGAACTAAAGTGAAGTACCTACTCTTGCACATAAAAACTTAACAATACATATTCCTATCGTTATCAGAATGATGAAAAGTACACTTTATCGTAAACATTATTACTTTGACAATCTTCAAATTAATTCTTGATGTCCTTAACTAGCCCTTCATGTCTTAGAAGGTCCTGCCATTCTATCTTTCAATTCCTTACTGACTCTCCTACTAATTTGCCTTCATATTAATATTAAGCCAAAAATATTAGGCCACATCAGAGCCCAGATCTTTCAGTATCTTTTGGTAATTATTTAGTTTTACGTCTATTTTTATTGATAGGAAAATAAATCTAATACAAAAATATGCGAATCTACTAATCCACTGGCTCTACAAATAACAGCTTTACTAATTTTAAGAAGGTTAAATTTACACGAATATGCCGACAGAATCGAAGAAAATTATTATGGAAAACCTGTGGGAACCATCTTAAATAAGTGTTTCAAATGTTTCGTCTAATCGTAAATGTTCCTCTTTATTTTGAATAATTGTTTTACTATTTTACGTTATTATCAAGAATGTGTTAAAAATAAATACTATTATGTGGTGTGTGTGTACATAGTCATATTATCTTATCGTATATCTATCATTAAAACAAGCAGTATACTTATGGCTTGACTCCAAATGATTTTATTAATTGTTTCGTCTTTCAAAATATCATAATAAATTAATTTTTATTGCACTCTTTCTGAAATTTTTATCTCATCATTATTACAATATTATATTGTCGCTGTAAATGTCAACAATGATTACTGGGATGCATTCGAAACAGATGACGCAAAATATGAAACTGAATCTTCTGTTTCAAACACCATTACATAAATTTTTCTGAAATACGAAATTCCAGTCTTAGTATTAGTTTTGATCGTGCTTATTTGGCCTTTGTCTTGCTCTTGCTCAAATACTTCTAGTCTTGGTATTGGTCTTGGTCTTGCTCATTTAATTTCATACTTACGTCTTTTTTAATAACTTTTCCAAGCACAAATTTTTCTATTTTCCGACACAATAATTAAATGAAACTGAAACTTTCAGTCTTACGTGCGAGCTCGTCATGACTTTTAAAGAAATTCGAAAACAAAATAGTAAATAGTACAAACTACTTGAAAGATGTAAAAAATTTAGTCTCTATATTTCAACCATGTGGTATCTATAGGGTTGTTCGGAAAGTCATTTCGTTTTTTCCCGACAGAGGATTTAATTGTATTCTTTTGCACCCAACTTCACATTTAAGCCGTATAATTTTTATATGCTTTGAGAGCTCATATAGCAAGGCTTGTGTGTCAAAAATTCCAATTAATTCTACGCAGTAGTTTCTGGTTGGCGCCCTTTCAAATATGGAGAGCGATAAGCAGCATTTTCGACATATCTTACTGTTTTACTACAGAAAGGGTAAAAACGCTGTTCAAGCCAGAAAGAAATTGGCTGATGTGTATGGAGAAGGTGTGTTGACAGTACGCCAGTGCCAGAACTGGTTCGCTAAATTTCGATCCGGCAATGTCGAAGATGCACCACGTTCGGGAAGGCCGGTTGAAGCTGATAAAGACGCGATAAAGGCATTAGTTGATGTGAACCGGAACC